GATAATAGCAGAACTTACCCGGCTATCGCTTCGAGGACATCCACTGTCCGAGTCACAGGAAATGGAGCCATCACACACTTGTCGAGTGAATGCTTCACGACCATTGAGATAGTCATCGTTGGGGAGGAATAGCATTGAAGCGTCCAATCCTCTTTCCTGTGCTAAAGTGGGCGTGACAATTGAGCCCTCGTCTTCAGAAGAACCGCATCCAGATGATGAAGCTGAAGCTAACTCATTGATTGTCAACAATGGAAATGCCTCCTTTGCAGGTGCTTTTAAGCTGTGACGTGGACAAAAGCATGAACAGAGGAGCAAAACAAGTGGAGCTGCTACCACCATCCCTTCAATAAAGTAAACAATAGTCCAGACGCATTTCAACATCTTCAAACTCCCGTTTACTCGATCCATTGTCTCATGATATGATTGTTCGATTTCATCTATTTTCATCAATGCTTTGTCTATGTATATCGACAGACCCTCCACCGCTTTGAGGACGTCTTTGGACATGCTAGAAAACCGATCTTCAATTTTACCACGAATAGATGCCTCAAGCTCCTTTCGCACATTGACAGCGGTCTTAAGTTGAGCAATGACTACAGAGACATTGAAAGGAAGAACATTTAGCATATTGAAAAGGCCGAGACTACTTTCGAGGCGAAAAAGGTGGAAAAATGTATCCTCATGAGTCGCTTCATCGTAGAGTCCAATTATCAACTGTGAAATCGCCTCCCCAAGAGGTGTGAGAGAGGGAAGATGAATTGTGAAATCAGCGCACTCCTTCTTCGTCCTTTGGGTCTCTTGTAGCAACATTTCACCGTTTACTCGAATACTTGAATCCAACTTCTCCAATTCCAGTGCCACTTGAGGGCCATTCTCTCTTAGAAGGGTATGTGCTTTGAGCAAATCTTCCACAGTTTGCGATAAATTGCCAAGTATTTTCAATGGAGTGTCCAAGTTAGTTTGATTTAAAAAATTGGAAGTAATTGTGGGTACTTCGGAGAGGAAATCTTTATAAAAGTCATTTATAAGATCGTGAATGGTAGCGTTAGCTACGGACTTAGTCTCATATGTCAGTGCTCTCAACAGTAAAAATGATTGGTTAGAGATCTTGTCAATGCGGCTAACGAAGTCGAAACCCTGGGAATTTGTGATATTGAGATTTTCTGAGAAGACAATAACTGTGAAAATTAAAGCCACACATACAAGAAGCCAACATGATAGAAAGGTTAAAAGAACAACCGTTATGCAAAACCGTCTGGGTGGTGATGACTTTTTGTGTAACTTGGAGTGGGAAAATGAAAGCAATGCCTGGATAGATGGACCTAGAACAATGACAGCGATAACGAGGGATAAAATGCAGAGTCCAATCAGCAGACTACTGAATTGAGACGCCTCAATTTGCTTCCAGGTGGAGACATTGGATTGACGATTGAGGTATTGATAGAAAATACTGCCAATGAGAGACCGGTTTTGTGATGTAGTAATGGCGGCGACGGTAGAGGTCAGTTTTTCGGCGATATAAGGCACCAAATATCCACTCTCAAACATGCTTACACCTTGGTTGCCTCATTCCAACCCCAAAAGTGAGAAAAAGATACACTCACAGATATGCATTTCGGTGGAGCACGCGTGTATGTCTGCCTGTGAAGAGTAAATGTGATATATAGTGTGTTGAAGCCGCGAATAACCCACGAAAATGACGTGCTTACATATTAGCGCCACCTGATTGGTTGATTTATTAGCCAATAAAATTAGCGGTCAATGACTTAACCTTTGCACGCACACAAACAGGCGCACATCTCACCGGTTGGTAGGCTTAAATAAACTTT